CGAGCAATCGTACATCGCCCGTCCCGTTCGAGAACGGCGACGCGGTCAACCCTTTGCCACCCGATGACCCGAGGTTTATCCTCTGGTCCACTCCCACCCCGCCGGTCGTCCCAACAGGCCCTCCCAGGCAAAGTGCGTTCATAAACGTACAACCTCCGACACCTACTCAAGGCCCGGTCAGGCGAAACCTACTTGCATGCACCCTTGAGCGCTGGATCGCCCAGCTCACCTCGAGCTTGGACTATGACATCCTCCTCGACACCCTTATCTCCTATCGACCGTTTCTCCCTCCTGCAGCGCTCGCACGATTGCTCATCATGCGCTTTATGTGGACTCTTCAGCAACCTCCCGCAGACTATCACCCCACCGAGATCAAGCGACAAGAAGTTGTACGCAAGATCGTACGCCTGCGGACGATGCTCGTCATGCGCTGTTGGCTGCAAGTCTTTTTCCGTGTCGACTTTGTACACAACAAGGAGGCACGTGATGTTCTAGTCGGCTGGATGAACCGTATGAAGTGCGAACCGGAGATTCAGGCACGGGGACGAGGTGCTCAAGCTTGTTCGGCGACTAAAGCGGATCGTGCGGGAATGCAAGGACGCATATAATCGGGATGTTCAGACTGAGTTCGAGCTTGGTCAGAAAGACTCGCCTATCGCCCCTTCTGCTGCTCCTCTTCCCCCTGTTCGGCATAACGCGAATCCTGTCCCACCAGAGGAACAGAATGCGGAAGATATCGACCTTTCTGACCTCTCCCCGCGGCCATCTGTAGACTACGACCGTCTTGCCGGCCGCTCGGCTGCAGAACAGTATGCGCATATGGCCACGTACGGCAAGCCCAATCCTTCGTCGCAGCTCAGGGAGAGCATCCGCGGTTTGGCAGACTTTGTCGCACCCCACCAAACCGCCACGGTGGAAACGTAGGAACTACAGATGGCCGGCTTGGGGTTGGTACCAGAAGCCAAGAGGGAACACCGCTTTCCACGTTGTGCTTGCAGACAGCGACGTGCGTACATCGTGCTTCGTGAGATAGCCTCTGTCTTCACTCCTTTGACCTCTCCGAACACATCCACATCAGCCCAGTCCGCGGTGTTCCGCTCGATCTTGCGAGCACACCCAAGGACAGGGAGATCTAGGGCAGCCTTGCTTAGGCCACGCCCATGCATAGACCGGTCGTATACCAAAAAGATGACAACTGGATCAAGCGTCTGGATCTTGGTATGATAGTCCTCCAAGATTGAGTTGAAGAGGGCCACAAGAATTTCGTGACACGTCCGTCCGTTTGTATTCTGCAATCCACACCACTGAGCTTCCAACTTGTCATGGAAAGCCTCAGTGGATCCCTGGAGTGCGTTGTCATTCAGGTCATATAGGCAAGCAAAATTGGCTGTAATAGTCGCATCTGCGAGGTCCCATTTCGTTATAATGGCGTCCTGTTCTGGCGTAATGGAGTCGCTCGATGAGTGGCAGAGCGAATCTTCCTGGGATACTGTGCCGGAAGCGCAAGAGGTACTCCCAGGATTTGGTCCAGTGGAAGTTGAGGTTGGCGAAGCCGATACTCCTAGTTCCGGTGGGGAAGATGTGACTGGAGTGGAGGAGGAAGAATGGAAGGGAACATTCTGGAGATACGTTGAGTCCCGCACGAGCAGCTCGCCATCTCTCTCCATCAGCACAGAGAGTGGTACGAAAGATATGGACACCACGTAGACACTGGATGTGTTCTCAAAGGATATTGAGGATCAAGGGTGAATGATCGTGTCGCGTGATTGACGCGGCGTAAGTGACACGACTTGGATAGCCCCGGCCTGTGACCGACGGTTGTCGACAGAAACTGTTCTTCAAGTATAGACTGACGTGCCTGGATGCGGCCAAGAATGGGAGATCGACTCGCTGGGGAAAGTCCTTTAGGATAGGTTGTTATAGCAGATGGCGAAATAAGCGATGACTAGTGCACGACTTGTTTGCGTAAACATCCCGGGGTGGAACATGGCTCACTTGGGCGATATTCAAGTCCGCCAATTACAGTAATTAAGCATGTTACTAACATATCTATACAGCATGCGTAAGTGAGACGGAAGCGAGAATGGTGTCCCAGGAGGCTTCCGGAATAGTTTTGAGATGTTTGTAACCCGCCTCGAGGTACTTCAACATAGTAGTCTGAAACAGTTCGACGATGGCGGTCGAGTCCCATTGGGCTGTGTCTAGCTTCTGCGACCCTTCCATAGAGATCTCCCACCAGTCTTTGAGTACTTGCTTGAAAAGTTCGACAATGACGAGTTTGCTTTTGTTGAGGACCTTGTGCCCCTCTGCCCGTTGCCTGTTGCTTTTCACATCATCGGCATTGTACAGCGTGAAAACCTCCTTCTCTGCTCTTGTGTGTATGCCCTTGCGACGGCCAATATCAAGTACTGTCCAATAAAGCACATGCATATATGACTCCAGGTCATCCACTGGCGTGCTGCGACACTCTTCATGCATCCACACGGCCCAATTGAGCCTCATCGACATAAATGGCAGCGTGCCCTGGTCATATGCATCACCATCATCCTAGACCAGCAAAGAATGATACTCACATGTCGGGACGACTGGATCTGTCGCGCCCCGTCAATAGGAACTGCCTAGTCACCGTCAATCAGCACGCCGAAACACGGACCTTCTCCAACCAGTGCACGGTAAGGTCTACTGTCCATATTAGCAACCATCGGTGAGGGTTAATAAATGCTGAATGACGTACTCAAGGGGCGCTTCGCATGACATGCCGTCAGGAATAAGCAAGATATTGCCTATGCTGACGTCCCGGTGATAGTATCCGTTCTCGACCAGCGCACTGAGCCTTGAAGACAGGAGTCAAAACCAATACGGCAGGCATAATAAACCGTCTCACCAGTCATCGCAAGCAATATACTGATCAACAACTCCCTCGGTCCTCTCGCCGAGCTGAGCGATCCCCCCTTGGTTTGCATGATGATATATGATTCGACGCGATCGTTGTTGCTTCTGAGTCTGATGAGAATATCGGCCATGGTTTCCAATCCTTGTCGAACGGCGCAGTCATAAATTCTGCGCCGCTCTCGAGCTGAGATGTCCAAGCCTCGACGAATCGAGGAACACCGAACTGTCCTGAGACCTTTTGCAGCATGATGGCCTCGTAATTGCGATCTGCCAACGGATATGAGATCTTGATAATGAACGGCCCCGGGAGGCGCTGTTTGCCCATCATTCACGTGGGGCAGTTCATCGGGGATGGTTCCGGAAGTTTGGCACGCAAAATTTTGCGAGAGGGAGGCAGGTGTTTCTTGTCGCAATGCACAGGACGGAGAAGTCTCCTGGTGCTTGATCTCAACCGGTTGTTCGGCCTGTACTTCTTTTGTCGTTGGCAGTGAACGCGGGGAAATCGGAAACGAGTGGAAAAGCAGGGGATCGCTTGGCCCCCCTTCGGACATGGTTGAAGTCGTGAAGGTTGGTGTTGCCGCAATTTTCATCCAGTTGCCCTGAGCCCGTCTGCCCTGTCGGGTACGTTCCTTTATCGGGGTTCGGGGTTCGGGGTTCGGACAAGATTCTCTTTCGTGCTTCTCCTCCCGGTCCTGCTGCTCCTTTCCCTGCCCCCATCCCTTCTCGCAATCGCACATTCCACTCCGACGTGATCGTTTGACCATTCCCGTCAGACGATGCATCCATCGCCTTCCGGACCGTGTCCGTCGCACATAGAGGCACAGCTGAATGGTCCACGATGGCAGCATTCTTCATTTGCTCAACCAGCCTATCATCTCCGGAGGGACGTTCCTGGTCGGTTGTAACAGGAGCGTCTGGAAGTGGAAGGAGTAAGCGGGGGGACATGAGAAATACGAAGAGAATTGCGTACCCAATACGAACTCAGCCACGTACGTTGCGCGTCCGCGCACGACTGCTCGGTTGGAGATGACCTTGACGAAGCGATAGGACTTCCGACTAGAGTATCCCACTACGCCCTTCGTAGGGTCAGAACCCGAGACAAATGCCGGAGGAGGTCCTTGACTTGTTGCGACCACATATCTGATCACTTCTTTCAACTGATCCGGAGTTTGAATTTGTAATCGGAATAGAGGAGACCCAACCAAGCCTCCGCGGTGGAAAAGGAGAAATCGCAGCTCGCAAGTTTGGTTGTTGTATGCGAAGTCGACGGAACATCGCCTGTCACGGTGCGCTTGTAGAGCACAACGTGCATATGTGGCAACTTGTCCGACAAGCTCTACCATACGTCCCTTAGCGTCTCCAGACCCTTCCACGCTGGCCCAGCCCACAGTTTCCGATCCGATTGGGCGCTTGCTGCGGAGGAAGTCGGGTTTCAGGGCTGCATGGCATGGCCCAGCTTCTTGCATCAGCCGGTCGTATACGGAGAAAAAGGCAAACCGAGTGGTCTTGCAATGGGAGTGATATTCGTCCAATGCTGAGTTGAACAGTTCCATCAGAGGGGCATAACACGTCCGTTCTGAATTAGACTGCAGTTCGGTCCACCGGCTGTTCCATCGTTCAAAGATAGCGTTGGTGTCCTTTTGAAGCGCGTCATCGTTTAGGTTATATAGACGAGCGAAATCGAATTCAATAGTTGCATCCACGAGCTCCCCTTTCATGGCGTTGATCATGGTGGCCTGTTCTGGTGGGATCACGCTGTTCGATGAAGGCCGCAACGGAAAGGAACCTTGGGAAGAGATATCTGCTGTATGGCAATAGGTAGATGGAAGTGATTCTGCCCGCTTCGCATGAGAGGAAGATATGGGGGCGGAGGACGATGGATGGAGCGGAAACTTGTGCTTGCCTTCGTTGCGCGTGGGCGCTGGCGTGAACTTTGTGGGCGTAACATGAGAGGCTTGGAGTCTCTTATCAGATGTCACAGAGAAAGGCGGCGTTGGGAGAGCGGGAGGAGAGCGAGAGGAGTCACTAGTCGAGGGGATAGAGGAAGACATGTATAGATAAAAGTGTAAGAAATAACCAGGGCGCTCATTGGACCCTTACGACACAAGGCACGTCGCACGTGACTCTCCCGATTTGGTCACGTGCTACAGCGTGGGGCACAGCCCAATTATCTCAAGTGCAAATTCAATCTAGTCCACTCCCGTTGGATCACGACTGCATTGAATGAAATACTGGTATGATATAACTGATGCATGGTAAACACGTCCCACCCTTGGACCGGGAAGAACATGACTCGGGAGACAGAAAATACAACCCGCTGGATGCCGGGGAGAGAAGCCGATTAGCTCCAAACACGCCGCGAAGAGGGAACAGAGGACATGACAGGATATGATAAGACACAGAGAGACAGAGAGGAAACAAGAATGCAAGCAAAACAAACTCTCGAAAAGACCATTCAATAAGTAGTGACTTCCCTCAACTGCATCCTCCGTCGCTCGGCTTCCCGTTCTGCCGCAGCATCGTACGCGTACTTGACCGGTTTCCATAGTCCGAGCTGGATCTTGATAGGATCGTATCCTGCTTCCTCCTCTTCCTCCTCGTTAGGCAAAGGGCGAGGCGTACCCTGCTCTTTGAAAAGGTCATCGGGATCGAAGGGATCTGCGAACAGAGTCAGCATCTGCATGTCCCCAATGAGGGAAAAACGCACTATCGTCATCCTCCTCGAGTGGCTTGACTGGTCTCTTCCCAAGAGCCTTAGCACTCGGCTTCACAGGCGTATTCGGCACGCTAGAAGACTCATCATCCGTAGGAGGGGCACTCCCATTGACCAAGTAGTACGCCGGTTCCAAACGTAGACCATTCGGTTTCCCAGGAATCGGCGCAGCGACGGGCGTCGTTGGCGCAACGGCCGCTGCCACAGTAGCAGAAACAGCAGCAACAGCAGCCCCGATAGAAGGAGCGAATGAATCGGTGCTTTTACGCCTTGGTGTCCCCTCGGGGGAAGGCGTCCTCCTCCTCGGCCCTGAGGGCGCATGAGGCGGAGGGGCCAAATGCGGAACAGGCGGCGTAGGCAGCGGATGGCTCAGGTGCCCCGTGCTGCCTGCATACCCTGCATTGATGGGGGATGCGCTTCTACTCCCTGGCTGGGAGGGCGAAGGCGTCGCGACCTGGCTGCTTGATCCCCCCGATGCTCCAAAGCGGGTATCCAAGTACCCCTCAGCGTTAAGATACTGTAAATCCTAGTACCTTGTCAGCGCCCTCTCACGAAAGAGCAGGAACAATCCCTTACCCGTCTGTCCATGCGCACCTCCCGCTTACTACGCTCCTCCACCTCTCTTTCCTCCGTATCCTCCACCCCGACCCTGGCGTGCTCCTCGTAGATCTTAAACACCTCGAGCAGCTCCTGATGCGCCCCCAACAGGGCAGCGAACAGTTGTTCCTCCTTCGTCTCCTTCTCCCTCACTCCTGCTGCTCCTGCCGGGGGCACAGGCAGCGGCCTCTGCGAGGGTGGAGAAGGCGTCCGTTGACCGTTCGGGATAGCGAACGGGGGTGTGGGCAGCGATCCCGCAGAACTAGGCGAAGCAGGGGAGATGATTATATTGCTGGGCGGGGGTGACGACAACCCCTGTTGCTGCTGTATAAGCTCACGCGAGCGCTGGGCCTGCGCAGCAGCCCACTCGAGCTGACTGGCGATTATCTCCTGACTCTTGAAACACTTTTGCCAAAATTCTTGTATGAGCGCGTTTTCCTCCAGTCCCTCTGGCTTGGCGTACACGAGCGCTTCTCGCAAGAGCGTCGCGTTCGATTTAGCGATATCGCATTCTTCTAGCAGCCGACGACGGTCTTCTTCGGGTGAGATGACGCGGGCAGACTTGCGCTGTGCGAGTCTGGGCTGGGCGTATGCGGACGGGGTGGGGAGGGCAAGGGAGGGGAGGTTCTGTCCACTTGCTGTCCGCGCGAGTGGGACTGGGAGAGAAGCTCGTTGTGGCTCTGGTTGAGTGCTGGGTAAGAGATGGCTAGGCGTGCTAGGAGGGTTGAACATCGGGTCCGAGTCGTCAAACGGGTATCCTTCCTCCGGCGCGTCCTTGGGCCTGACTTTCCTCCACAACCCTACAAAGCCGCCTCGCTTCCCATCGAGCTCCACGCCCGCAGATGGCCAGGTATATGCGGCGGAGGCGAGGACGTGCTTGAGCCGTTCTGTCACTACCGGGTGGGGGTTCTCTTTCGTCAGGATAATCTCGACCGCATCCATGAACTTCTTGCTGGCGCACAACGCTGTTCACGCATCGCATGAGCCACCACTCGACTCGCCGCAGAGCGAAAAGGAAAGAGACGACTCACAGACGAACGGCTCGCCACAGTTGCGCAAAAGGATCGCCCAGAGCCGAGCGGCGCTGACCTGCGCAGGCGGCTCACCATACTTGATATCCTTCCGAAGTGCCTTTGCGGCCTCTTTTGCCGTAACGTCCGACTCCTTTGCCCGTTCGCAGAGGTCGAGTACGCGCACCCAGTCCTCGCTCGCGTGTGCCGTTAGCCATCCTACACAGGCAGACTCAGTCAGCCAACTCCAATCCCAACTGCACACCACGGTAAAGCACGTACCGATCTCACGGGTAATGTCCCACCCATCATCCCCATTCGCATGTGGGGGTCTATCCCTCTCCCTCCCGTCCTTCCTAACGCTCTTCGAGCTCTTAGCACTCCTCCTACTTTCCCAGCTATTCATGCCCACCACGTCCTTGTGCTCCAAAGCCTTCCTCTTCCCGACGTTCGCCGTCTTTCCCTCCCTATCTCGCTCACCTCGCTCGGAATACGAGCTCTTCCTGCTTTCCCAGGAGTTCATCCCCGCGTCTTCCGCCCTCGGCCCACCGAGGGAAGCAGCGAGGAGATTCGCTCTCCATCCCCTGACTCGCTCTTCCCTATCTCGGTCCTGATGCACTGGGGCAGCAGCAGGGGAGGGGAGGGTACGCGAGTCCGTCCGAGGACGTACGGTCTTATCCGTGCCGTTAGGACTAGGGATGTACGGGTCGAGCTCTCTCAGATCTCTGATGTCGCGGGTCTCGAGTGCGGGTAGCTCCTGCTGTCCAGAAGCCGATCGTTCCCGTTCCCGCTCCCGCTCCCGTTCCCTCTCCCTTCCACCCCCGAGGCCCAGAAAACGTTTTCCCAGCAAAGGTGCCGGAGCGAGAACAGCGTTCTGTGGTCCATAGCCCGTATACCCACTTTGGGGCGTCGGGGGCAGAGGCTGCTCCTGCCCCCCGCGGTAGATGAGTTCCTCTGGCTCCCTCACCCTCGCATGACCGTTGTCGGACTTGATCCATGCGAAAATCCCGTGTTTCTTCTGTTGGGGCTGATCGGGCGTGCTCGGGGAAGGGGTGGTAGGGTAGTGGGAGTGTGGGTGGGAATGTGGGTGGGAGGAGAGGGAAGGGTAGGAGTACTCGGTTGTTGGGGTAGCGCTCGTTGTTACCCAAGTGAAGTCTTCTGACAGGGGCTGTTCTCTCTCCTTCTCCGGACTCTGAGATCGAGGAGGAGTAAGGACACCCGAGCGTACTGGGCCAAAGGAGTCCTTTGTCGGTGAGCGACGTTGAGGGTGTTGAGCTGAGGTTGGGAGGACGGGTTGTTGTAGTGCGTATGGATCTGTGGGAGGGTCGATGGGTTCTGGGGAAGTGTAAGGTGCTGGCTTTGCTGGTTTCTTGAATATCTTGCGCATTGTTGGTGAGAAGGTGATGGTGAAGAAGGGAGATATGGTGGTGGTGAAGAAGAGAGAGGCGCCGAGAGAGGAGGTAGAGAGGTCGAGGAGGAGGAGGGATAAAGTGGTAGTAAAGGGAGAGGCGCTGTGAGTAGTGAAAGTGCACAACACACCAACGAACGGCGCAAAAGGCAGTGCATTTCTACCTCTTTCTCTACCATGCACAGCCTTGTCACTTTCTTATACTTTATCTTCCTTTTTTTTCACTCTTGCGTACATATATTTCATACGTTTATTACTCCAAAGTAAAGCTACTAACTACTTCTCTCTCTTGTGCTAAATTACTCGGCATCTTCACTCAAACTAGCCAGCCTACATCCAACGCAATACCCAGCCAGCACAGCTACACATCCGCACACCAACCGCAGCACATCGCAGCCTACATACACCCCACACTCATCACATAACACCTTACCCAGCGTATATACAGCAGCCAGCAGCATGCACACATACACAAATATCCAGTGGTACAAAGTAAGTACGTACATATACTAATCCCTTCTCAATTGCCATGCACCGCCTCATCTGCCTCCGCTCTCCACCAAATATTCCCCCTTAATAGTCCCTTGTCCCTTGTCCTTCCTCCTCTCTCACAGCACACAATGAGAGCGAGGACAATCTAAGCGCCCGCGTAGTCGACCGCAAAAATTTAAACTAAGCTTCAATGTTAGAGGGTAGAATGATCACTTGACAGATGACTGAGCCTTAGCTACCGTATCAGACTCAGAAACGACCCCAGCAGCGCTCGGTTGTCCAACACGGTCCTTTCGCCGGCGGGAGACGCTCACAACGGTTGAATAACTACGATCCACCCATGCACGTAACGGCAAACGGCAGCATGCAGCGCCAACAGAACTCGACCAACTTTTCTCGAAATCTCCTTCAACCTCCCGCTCTGTCTCCCACTCCCGAACCCACCACCAGCCCCCTCCTCCCCGCCCTGACCGAAAACAGTCTCACCTTCCCTCCGTATTACCCTACCGTAAACCCGAGTATCACCGTAACTATTACATACCTCCTCCTTCAAGCATGGAGTATGTAATACCGCCATACCGAGTACTCCAACCCCTTGCCCCCCTGCCCCTTACTCGCTTCCGCCCACTGAATGCCCAACTTTCAATCCTGATACACCGAAGCAGACTGAGCTGCTTACGTCACCCACCTTTTCCGCTCTTGTGCACCTATTGCTGCACACTGCTCACTGCCTGCCCTCGTGCCTTTAATTACGACACCACACAAGTCGGCGTCCGCAACGCCCCGGAAATTAATTATACATCTACCCCTGCACGAGACCGATCAAACCGATCAGACCTGTCACATGTTGCCCCGTGAACTGTGTGCGCGCTTAGCCCAGTCGTGTCGCTGTCTACAGACTGTATACATACCCATACGACACTCTGTGTACATGTTACATGCTTGCTGCCCGAGTACTTGCTGACCGTCGCCCGGCCGGGCACAGACACGCCGACGCCGACGCCGACGTTTCTCCGTGTCCCCTCGATATACGCCCCCGACTCCTTCCCTCACGCTCCTCCCCGATGGAAGAAGATCTAGAAACAAGAGTTTCACCCCCTTACCGGACACACCATTGATGTTGAAACTTGGAATAATAGCACTATTTCGCGCAGAAACAGGTAGCAAAGAGAGCGGACGACGAAAGATCTACCATTATGGGAGCTGACGGATGTGACCTGGCCTACACTAGCAGGTCACTCGTACTATAGTACTACTACTCACAAGAGTCTCATACCTTGTTGTTCCTTCGCATGTTGCTCCGCCGCCCTCCTGCTTGCATCTTGGATAAGCAGCTGTTCATCGTAGACGTACTTGACACGAGCCTTCTTCCTCTGCTTGGGGGGAGAGTATACCGGTGGGAGGATATTGGGATACGAAGGTGGTAGAGAGTTGGCAGACACCGGAGATGGATCCGATGGATACCTGGTGGGGTCGCATATTTCGTCGTAAGCAGGAGGGGAAGAGAAAGGGTGAGTAGCTTCTCCATCGACGAACTCAGCTCCTCCGTTATCGTTGTTAACCTTGATGTTGGGGGAGCGACCAGTAGTATCCGTCAAGGCAGACCTCGTCACTGCACCCCCTGGGTTGGAGACGCATACTTGGTTGGACAAACTTGATATGATGTTGTGCTGACTGGCAACCCCTGCGGAGCTGGCGGAGTCCAGGGTGGTAACTGCTTGGTCGTGCGTCCCTACACCAAAGTCAGCATCGTGTATCCATACAACAGATGAATATGGCATACCAATGAACGCGTCGACTCCTGTTCTGCCGCCCAAAGCGCTCAACAACTTGTTCATGTCAGAGTATCAACCCTGGCAGGGTGTAAGAAAAAAGAGGATCCGCTATTGTCCAAATAGGACTTACTTTGGTAAGACTTGAAATACATTATACATAGGATAGCTATGAATGTGTAGGAGGAAGTGGTGGTGATTGCCTGACGGTGAGGAGCAGGTTGCACGCGATGACCTGCCCCCTAGGCCTTATCCGCAAATCCGGAGCATTATCCCCGACACGTCTCCAGCCTCTCACTCTCATCGACCCCGACTATAGTTCGCTCATCGTCCTGTGCGTGTCCTGTGTCTCTGCCCTCGGTCAAAGAGAAGGCCAAGAAGGTCGAACTGAGGGTTGCGAAAGAGGGAAGCGGCAAGGGTCGCATCAAGCTGACCCGGCCTTCTGCACCCCCCTACGCACCCGGAATGCCGTGAGTTCTGCACTTTTGTGGGTTCGATAACCTCTTCGGGAGCCCGGAGCGACCCGATGCATGTGTGCTTATCACGGTACAGGAGACTGCTTGCTCGCTTGCTGATCCCTGCTGATCCCTGCTTATAACGCAGCCACGGGGAGGCCAGCCCATGCAGGCTGTCGGTGCCAGCGCACAACGCACCAAGCTTTCGCTGATTTCGATTCAGACCGTGTCTGATCGCAAAAGGGAATCCAGCCCGCTCCCCGAGAGAATGTTATGTCACCCCTCCTCAGTCCGTGTGTGCCCCAGCTACTATGACTCGTTTCACCGTACCCACCTGATTGATCGGCGAATACGCCACAGACGCCGACAACAGTGATCGACGTCGACCTATATCTGGCTGTAACATCCTCTCTCCGATCAAAGTATATTAGCTTTCATCAGCCGGCACCCTTATCGGCCATCTCAGAGTTGGAATACAGACCAGTTGTAAGCAACAAGCGCCCGTCCAGATTTTGGGCTTAACGACGGCTCTCTCGTTTGCCAGATGCGGCCACGGCCAGCGTGGGTTAGGGGTTCCCCCGATAGGGAGAGAGGGGACAACGTAACAACCGTACGATTGTCAGGCTTCACATTAACTTGATTTTGTGAATGGACGTAACATGCGTATAATATGAGTGGTCATTGAGTTTATTTGGGGGTTCGTTGGAACCCCCCTGAGACAGCTTCCCGACGACTGCAGGCACCGGTTTACGATCACCAAGCACAGAGAGCGGGCAAGTTGCACGCCATGTTTAGAAACGGCGTGGCAGACTGCTTTAACGAGAAACATGCGGTTATCGGTTTGCATGACTTGCTTGTGTATGACCTTGCTTCCTCGTTAGCATTGCCGTGCTGTTTTCACAGGATGGTGAAGTAACGTTAACCGGGTCGAACATGTTGAATTCATTTCAGTTAGTGGACCCTCAGTCAAGAGCGTCTTTGACTACCTCGGCTGTGGCTTCGGGACATCATGTCGAAGTGTCATATATTACACTGATACGTTCGTGAATAACTTGCATGAGTACATGGACGAGTCTCATAAAACTGCCAAAGCAGCTCAACATAATCCCTCACATAACAAAGAGCCAGAACAGGGTAGGATTGATCAAGAACTCAATGCCTTCCAAATCAAATCAAGCGGCTAACATGGTGCGCCTTCGGTTGGCCCTCGGCAAAACGTCGTCTACGATATCTTCGTTTTCTTTATCTTCAACACTTTGCAGGCTGACGGAAGGAGGGCGCGCGAGGGATGAAAAACCGGATCTGGGCAGAATGCCAACAGACGAAGAGCGTCTTTGAAGCGAAGTGGCTGGCATACTTAGTCTTCTGGCCGCCCCAGCAGCAGAAGCTTTCGCAGATGTCAGCTGAGATTTGGCTAAAGCCATGTTCGCTGCTGACACTGGGGTTGGCGTTGAAAGAAGGGAGGATCGTCGGCTGACTTTCGAGGCTTCAATTGTCGGCGGTGCATTCAGGGTGCAGAGAGGGTCCAGCACGCCCAATGTCACGCGACGATCTTTACCCTCTCTACTCGGAGCTCGCAACGCTGGGGTTTGAAGAGGCAATGACTCTCGAGAGGGTGGACGGACGCGATTGGCAGCAGGAGTATTCCCCCCGGCAATTCCCTTAACGCCATATTTCCGCTTCAACTGGAGACCGCTCAGTAAGTGCGTCTGAAAACGATCGCAGGAATAGACTTACCAAGTCAAGTTCCTGCTGCTTTGCCTCAAGGGCAATGTTCAACCCTTCTTTGTCGTCTTTGACTTCATCCCTAGACTTCTTCAATCTTTCCACCTCGAGTTCCTTGTCTCGCGTTTGTGTTTGCAGATCGTGCAGCCGTTTCCTCATTTTCTCATTCTCGTCCTTCAACACCTGAACTTGGGACCTCCAACCGTCAGTATCGATGCCTTCCATTGCCTTCTGACGGATGATGTCGTTCTTTGCCTTATCCGCTTCTTCAGCACGATGTGTAGCTTCGTCGATCTTGCGGGCTTGATTAGCCAGTTGATGCTCATAATCCCTCTTGAGTTGAGCTATATTCCCACGGAGCGCGTCGATCTCCTTTTCTCCCTCCATGATGCGCAACGTCGTGGATGCGAGGTCCTTGTCCTGCTCTAGAACAAGGGACTCAAGCCGCTCCTTTGCTTCGGTTGCTTCATATTGTTCTTGGAGCACAGCTTGGCTCTCGTCCTGTAGTTGTTCGAATGCGTGGCGGACGTTTTCATGCTCTTTCTGCTGAACCTGGAGTTCTTCATAAACGCGCGAGAGCTCAGCCTTGACATATTCCAACTCTGCTTGTACCGTGGCCAGCGCAGCAGTCGCCTGTTTCCCCGGTTAGAGGTGGCTGAACACAGTTATGAATCTGAGCAATTTACCTCGTCCTTATCGGTCTCCATTTTCGCCTTAGAAGTCCAGGCTTCGCTCAGCTTCTCGGCCAGCTCATGCATCTGTTGCTTGATCGAAACCTCTCGTTCACGTCGCTCTGCTTGGAACTTCTGCATGTCCAACAGAATTGCCTTTTTGTCTTTTTCGAGACCCTGGATCTTGTCGGTCGCTTTCTCGGCACCTTCCCACTGAGCTTTGACTTCTGCATCAAGTATCGCATTCTTCTGAGTTGCGCTATTCAGTGCTTTGGCTTGATCACGCAGCTGGTCCTCGAGATGAACGAGCTTCTGCTGGAATTCCTTGAGGTGCCTATCCTTCTCTTCTAATTGACCTTGAGCCTCCTCAAACGCCGCAGTCTCAGGGGTGGGAATGATCTTTGGTGTCGAGTCGCGAAGTTCTTGTTCTCGCTTATGGGCGGCCTCAAGCTCACGCATCAGCGTTTCGATCTCTTCGTCTCTGGCCTGGATAGCTTCAACCGCTGACGTAGTACGTTCTGTTTGGCTACTGATGGAGGCTTCCTTCTGCTGAAGCTGTTCGCGCAGATGTTCAAGCTCGTCTTCTCGTGCCAAACTTGTCTCCTTCAAATCTTCTACGGCGTCCTTCATCTCGGCGATTTCATGTTCAAGCTTCTGTTTTTCGCGCTCGGCTCTCAGTTGTATATCTTGATTGTCTTGCTCCAACATCGCCCTCTTTGCCCTCTCCTCCCTTGCTAGGATCTCTGCATCGCTGAGCGTACGCTTGAGATCTTCTATCTCACGCCGGAGTTGTTCTTCATCTCCATGGCCAAGCGAACTCGCACGTAACGAAGCAGTATCCGAATCGACCAGCATCCGGAGATCTGCCACGAGTTCACCAACAGTGTTCTTGATATTCTCGCGCTCCTCCTGTCCCTCTTGGAAATGCAACAACAATGCGTTCTGCTCACGTACATGTTCAAGCATCTCTTCGTGTGCGCGGAAAACTTGTTCTTCGCCATGACTCTGCAAGCTCTGAAGGTCCAGCGAGGAGATAGCAGTAAAGCTCGAATTCGGGCTGCCGGACAGATTGCGAACTTCTCGGGTATGTGTTGGAGAAGGCGTGCCAGGGAGGGAGACGCGGCCCCATCGGAACTTCCCGGGCAAGCTTAGGCTTTGCTCGCCCATGGTCATATTGCCCGTAGTCCCGTTGAAGACGGACGTATGCGCGAGCTCTGAGGGAGCGGCATCCCATCTGAACTTTCCTGGCAGCAGCAAACTTTGTTCACCCGCAGTCGTGTTATAGACAGAAGCCTGCACGCTCTCGGAGGGAGAATTCGTACTCCACCTGAATTTACCAGGCAAGGCAAGGCTCTTCTCAGGTGAGGGCGTAGTGAACTCACGAGAGGATGAGACGGCGGCGATGATACCCTCCATTGGCTGTGCGGTACGGGAGAAGATCCTGCTTGTCCCGAAACCTTCTGCAATGGAGTCCCTCGATGTTGTCGAACTAACAGAAGTGTTGGGGTCCTTTGGAGACTGGGGTGTCATAGGCTGAGAGGGCTTCTTGCCTAGCCCGAGTGCCTGCTGGCTCGCGACCCGCTTTAATATGGGGCTATCCTCTTCCTTCCGTGTTGGGGAGGGTAACTCACCTTGCCACTCCGTCATAGAGAGGTATGCTGTCGCGTCCGGAGTGCTGCTGATCGGGCTACCAGTCCTGGATACGCCAGTCGCGGGTGTCCTCGGGCCGGGGCTGGGGGAAAGGGACGAGCGACTGACACTACGCTCCGCCTTGGAATCGGGATTGGCTAACACCAAAGACTGGCCTTGGGGGAGCTGGAGCTGGCGGTAGGACTGGACGGAGTCATGTGGGTCCCTAGACAGTTGGGCGAGAGAGCGTTCAGCAGAAGGCGATTCGAGCATAGAGAGAAAGGCAGTGTTGTTCGCTTCCGTCGTCTCGTGTTCTTGATCATGCTCTCCCTCTTCGTCGTCCATTTCCACGGACGGGTGGGTCACCATGACCTTGGGCGACTGTGTTCTCGAGCGTGGGGAGACAGCGGAAAACGGTGGGACGTATTCGGCGGAACTGTCCGAGCTATCTACCCCACCGTGTATCAGTGCGTTCGACAGATCAAGCTCGTTCAGGTTTGTGAAGTCCAGCGTAGGGTCCTGAAGGGAGAGACTACGCTCATGGCTCTGATCGAAAAGAGGCGCGTTTTCTGGCGTGAGCTGTGGTGCAGGAAGCGTGCTGTTCCGGCTTGAAGAAGTGGACACAGGTGTGGAGAATACTGCAGGCGAGCGGCGGGCGGGGGTCCTCGCGACGACATTCGTCGTTGTCGCTACCGGTGTAGACATCGACCCAGAGGAGGCGCGTTCGGGGGACAGCGCGATGCCAACTTCGCCAACCGGCGTCCCTTCGCGCTCGAACCCAGTTCCAGTGAGTTCGATGACGTCCATCGTTTCCTCGCTCATGCTCAATAGCCTGTCCACGCTGAGATCTTCGATCCTGCTCATGCTCATGCTGATATTCTCACTGTCGTCGGGCATGAGTGCGAGGCTCAAGCTCACATTTGCTGATGAAGAGGTGGATGAGGCGAGGCTCATGTTGGGTGAGATGATGCGGAATGCTGAGCGACCGTTGAATCGGACCGACTGACCCGTACCAGGAGTTTGGGGCGCACGAAGAATGGATCGTGGAGGGA